ATGTCAGCTTTCCTGCTCCTCTGATGCTGCTTGGCCTGCTGTGTTCATCCAGCTCTACACCCTTTTTAAATGCGATTGTTTTTGCCTCTACTGTCCTTTCAGGGAGTAGCTTCCAGAGACCCACCACTCTCCGAGTGAAACAAATTTTTCCTTTAAGCCTCTCTAAGCATTTTTAAAATCTATGTCTGCTAGTTATTGACCCCTCTTTTAAGGGGAAGTGTTTATTCCTATGTTCTCTATCTATGTACTTCATAATTTTGTACAACTCAATAAGGTCCCCTCTCAGCTTACTGTGCTCTGAGGAAAACAGCCTTAGGCTTTCTAATTTCTCTGCGTAGCTGAATCATCCCAGTCCAGGCAACAAACTATATATCTCCTAATGTCAGTGAATGAAAGACCTGCCTCAAAGGAACCCCCAGGTTTCTCTGTTCCACAACATTACACAAGGCCATACTTTTAATTGTATAAGTCTTGCCCTTGTTTGTTTTAACAAAATGCAATACTTCTCATTTATCCAAATTAAATATATGTTCCCTTACCAGTGTAATTAGTGTAAGAATAATTCAGATAGGGCAAAGACCATCTGGCCCATTGAGCTTGCTCAGCCATCAAAAATATCATGGCTGATTTTAGGTTTCCATTTTCTAATCTACTCTCCACACTCCTTGGTTGCCTGAAAAATCAAATGTATCTTTATCCCAAACTTAAATGTATTCAACAACGGAGTCCCCATGCTCTGGCTTCCTCAGATAGTGGAAATAACAACCCTTCATTGTTTACCCTGTAAAACGCATTCAGAATCTTGTGTACTTCTATGGGGCCATCTCGTATTTTCCTAAAACCCAGAGAACATATAGGGCCAATTTGCTCAACCTCTAATTATAGGAAGTTCTGTCATTACAGGAAACACTCTAATGAAATTCACTGTACTGTCTCTGCTGCAAATAAATCCTTTCTTAAATATTGACACCAAAACTGCATACAGTACTGGAGATGTGGGGCTGGCTATCTTTGACCCAACCAGGTCTGTTTTCCATGTGGACATGTTATAGGGAGCTGGTGGCTCGACCACCACCTTCATACCCAGCCTCTCAAGATCAATTCCCATAACATGGAGGGTAGATAGGTACCAAAATCAGTAGCCCACCCATCACATGTAAATGAATAATTTCAGATAAATTAACCATGATAACACATAAATTTCCCATGCAAAAATCTGGATGGGCAGCTGAGTGGGAGTGGGCAGGTGGTTATATTTTTAAAAGCAGTTCATAAAACCGTGGTGAGAAAAGGGGGATACCATCTTCAGGGTTGCACTTTGTGAACTGGGGATACCCTCCTAAAGTTAATGCCAACTTACCTACCTGCCAATCTCAGTGAAAAGCCTACCCCTCATTCCCCTCGTGCCCTCACTCCCCCGCATAAGCTTGACAAACCCTGCAGACCCAATACCTCATACCAGGATCCATGCTGTTTCCTATGTGGGCTTCCCTGCAGTACTGGCAGCACCCATTACTGAGCTTGTGGCACTGCCACTAATATGGGAGCTGCTGGCCAATCAGCTGTGCCAGCAACTCCCGAGAGCAGGACTTCCTCCCCAGTGACAGGTTGAAGCCCTATAATTTGGCGATGTAGTGTGCCCGCAGTGTGCCAAGGCTGAGGATTGGGTATCTTTTTGATTTCATCACTAATTTTCTTTTCGAGAAGGCAAGCAGTCTGCCCACTTTGTAAGTTTTAGACCATGTTCTCAGCAAAGTTTTACACAAATGACAAAAGGCATTCATATTCTTGTTCCCTAAATCCCTTGGAATAAAATTTGCTTTCCCATATTGCTCACTGTACTGAATGCCAACTTTCTTTTTCTCGTACAAGTACCTGTAAATCTCTCTGAAAATTGACATTTAAAAGTTTCATGCTTTTCAAAACAATATTCAGCTTTTCTATTGCAATGACTAAAGTGAATAAAACCACACTTTCCCACATTTTTCTCCATCTACCATCTTGATAGTCTGTATCTCTTTGCAGCATCTATGTGTCCTCATAATTTATATTTCTATTTAGCACAAAAACAGAAATTGCTGGAGAAACTCAGCGGGTCTGGCAGCATGGTCGTAGAGTCATACAGCACGGAAACAGATCCTTCGGTCCAACCAGTCCATGCTGAACATAATCCCAAACTAAACTAGTCCCACCTGCCTGCTCCTGGCCCATATCCCTCCAAACCTTTCCTATTCATGTAGTTATCCAAATGTCTTTTAATCCTTGTAATTATGCCCACATCCACCACATCCCTAGGAAGCTCATTCCACACACAAACCACCCTCTGTGTGAAAGAAACCACCCCTCGTGTCTTTTTTAAATCTCTCTCCTCTCACCTTACAAATGTATCCCCAGGTCTTGAAATCCCCTATCCTAGGGAAGAGGCAACCACCAATAACTCAATCTATACCTCTCATTATTTTATAAATTTCTATAAGGTCGCCTCTCAACCAATGGGAAAATTCCCATCCTACCATGTCACCAGAGGAGCCTCCCACTCCCTGGGTGACATGTCCATCCTGGGCCTCCTCCAGTGTCACAATGGCACCACCTGGAAACTGGAAGAGCAGAAGCTCACGTTCCACCTCGGGAGCCTACAGGCCAATGGTCTCAATGTGGACTTTACCAGTTTCAAAATCTCCCCACCCCCGGCCTCATCCCACGACCAACCCTCCCTCTCATTCCCGACTCCTTGACCTGACACAACCTGTCCATCTTCTCTCCCACCTATCCGTCCCTCCCACCTCACTGACAAATCCCCATCACTGCCTACCTGCACTCACCTATCACCATCCCACCTACCTTTCACAGCCCCTTCCCTCCTCTCTATTTATTTTGGAGCTCCCTTCCCCCTCCCCATTTCTAAAGAAGGGTCCTGACCCAGAACGTCAACTTTCCTGCTCCTCTGATGCTGCCTGGCCTGCTGTGTTCCTCCAGCTCCACACTGTATTGTCTCTGACTCCAGCATCTGCAGTTCTTACTATCTCTGCATGAGTTATAACCCCATTTGTAACAGCTCTGGGAAGCCCCAAACTGAAAACCACAGAGTTTTGTTAGAAAATGCTGCCAGAGGTAATTCACACAGAGAAAATGTTATTTTATAGATATTTTCTATAAATTCTTGCGAATGTTATGAACTTTAATTTCTTAATTTTGTCAGAAATGTTAGTTCCAATAGTAAATTTTCCCCTTCGTGAAAACGGCGAGTGCCATATTGACATTTTTTAACCATCTTGATTCATATATTTCCTTCTTTATCAGTTACAATTCATTGATATTTTATGGAAAAAAATGAACCTGTATTTAGGACACTTCTGAATTGCAGTCACTGTTGTCATTTCTGAAGTATTAGCTTCTGATTCACATGTATGTTTCACAAAGATGAATTAGAATTCTTATTACTTTGTTTCTAAAATTTTAACTGAGGGATAAATATTAACCAAAATATCATGAGAACTCCCCTTTTTGAATAGCTCTACAGGATTTTTAATATCGATGTGAGACAGTAAATGATATATATTTCTTTCTTATTATGGCACTTCCTCATTGTTGCATAGAAATGCCAATTGAGATCAGACACTCAGATTCTGAAGGTGGTTTTGAATACATTACCATCTGACTCTGAAGCACATGTACAAATATTAGTCATTACAAGAGTTTTTAAAAACACACTAGTAAATTCCCTGTGTTGTAGGTCATGCTCAGTTATAGAGTCATAGAGTCTTAGAGATGTACAGCACAGAAACAGACCCTTCAGTCCAACCCGTCCATGCCAACCAAATATCCTAAACTGATGTAGTGCCATTTGCCACCATTTGCCCATATCCTTCCAAACCCTTCCTATTCATGCACCCATTCAGTTGCAATTGTACCAGCCTCCACCAACTCCTCATTCCAAACATGCACCACCCTCTGTTTGAAAAGGTTGCCGCTTATCTTACTTTTATATCTTTCCCCTCTCACTTTAAACCTATTCCCTCTAGTTTTGGACTCCTCTACCCTGGGAGAAAGTCCTTGACTATTTACCCTATCCACAGCCCTCATGATTTTGCAAACCTCTATAAGAGCACCCCTCAGCCTCTGATGCTCCAGGGAAAATAGCACCAGCCTATTCAGCCTCTCCTTCTAGCTCAAACCCTCCAACTCTGGCAACATCCTTGTAAATCTTTTCTGCACCCTTTCAAGTTCCACAACATATTTCCTACAGCAGGGAGACCAGAACTGAAAGAAGTATTCCAAAAGTGGCCTAACCAATGTCCTGTACA